ACTTTACTAGAGCCTGTGGAACAGTGCCTGGATCCTTGCCTAGCACTCAAAAGATGCTCAATAAATATTTGTTGAGTGAATGAATGCGTTCACTCCAGGATAATCTGTTCATTCCAAGAAATCTGACGTGATCCTGGCTGCTCTCATCTAAACCGAGTTTTTCCTGTTTCTTTTAATCATTCCCTTTTTAAAAGTTCTCAGATGGGGCATAAAACAAATCCTCTTACATCCTGCCAGGGAACATGGAACATGGAACCAACACACACATGAAAATCCCTGACCATGGGCTCCCTGTGTACTCAGCCAACCCAGCCATCCCTCCAGCGGCCACACCACAGAGGGAGCCCATGGCAGCCCCCCAGATGAACATAAAGCTGCCTCTCCTTCTCTGGAGATCTGCAGCTCCTGGAATCTGCCAGGGCAGGTGTCTCCTGGCAACTTTGCAGGTGTTCCTCCCCTTGTAGATTCCTCGTGCCATGCACCCCGCATTCTCAGGCCTCAGGAGATTTGGGGCCTCGGATGAGGACTAAGAATAAAGAAGGGTCAGGGATGTGAGCCAGGTGCCTCTTATTGAAAGGCAGATGAAAGATGTTTTTAATGAACTGATTTGATCGCCAACTTGTAAAATAACCCTGCTTTTTGGAGCTGAGAGTTGGGAAGATCTCGCCCAGTTCTGCTTCTTTCATGCCTGCTTCCCCTTATGGATCAAGCTGTCACCACACAGCCCTCCCCGTAGGAGCTCACAGTGTTGCTGGGCAGACAAAGCCATCTGCATCAAATAGCCACACACACAACGTGACAACGTGGCAGAGGTTAAAGAAATCATTCTACGGCCTGTCACAGTATCATAAATGATTACCGGTGAGTTTGATGTCACATTTTTCTAGTTTTGAATGAGTTAGAAAGAAATTTATAACCATTTACAAAAATGCTAAAGTTCATGTGGCTAAACTCGTGCCAAGTGCCCCTCACCGAATGTGGTCCCTTCCTTGGGCAGTATGACTCCCAGCCCCTGGCCTAAGAAGACTCCCCATGTGCGGCTCTAGCAGATAACTATTGCCCCCGAGGCCAGCCAGGCAGACCTGGAGCATGCTGGATGGGGCTGGATTGAGCTGCCCCACTGGGCCATGTGGCCCAAAGTCAGAGCCCAGGTTTTCCTCTCCGGGCTCAGATGCCTAAGTGACTTGTTGGAGCAGAGCCCCTGGAGTACAGCAAGCAGGAAGTCTGTTCACCACTCAGCCAAGGCCGGGGTCTGCCACCCTCCCATCCTGGCCCTTTGCCTCCACAAATAAAAGGCAGTGCCGCTCCACTCTCTCCCACTCCTTCTGTCAACATCCAACGCAGTTCATGACCTGGCATCTTCAGGGAACTCATGATGAAAAGAAATAGGAGTCAACCTGCCAACAATTTTAGCCCAGACTGATGTCGAGGGAAATGTGACTGCTGCCCCTCGAAGCTGGGGAGGGGCAGGAACCCAGCCCTCCACCCCTCCCAGGGCTGACCAGGGCGTGGACACCTCCCCAGAAACCCATGCAAGGTTGTGGGACAGAGCTTGCTACAGACATTGTCTTTTGGAGCAATCATCCCAAAGTATTTCACAAGTGTATGAGTAAACACCAGCCTAAAGTGTGACTCTTCACAAGAAAAGTGAATAATTTATCTAAGTTTCAAATGCTGAATATTTTTTGATAAATGTTGATTCCATTTGTATATCTGCAATCCACAAGTATTATTAAGAAGGTTTGAAAATGCTACTGAAGATAAAGAATAGAGAAAATGTGTCTATCTCACTTACAGATACGTACAGCAGTGTTGTTAACCTGGACAATGTCCAGTTCTGAGCTCACGTGGGAATCAGTCACAGAGAAGATCTCCATGTCTGTTGTGTTTATGATGTTGAGCTGAGGGCTCTTGTCATGCTGCCTTCTTCCTTTGTAAAAATGTGTTCAGAAAAAAAAAAAACAACACAGGATGTTTCGGTTGCGATAACAAAACACCATAGCCTGGTGGCTAATAAGCAACAGAAATTTACTTCTCATATTTCTGGAGTCTGGAAGTCCAAGATCAAAGCATTGGCAGATTCCTGGTTCATGGACAGTGTCTTCTCACTGTGTCCTCACAAGGGGAAAGGAGACTCTCTAGGGTCCTTCCTATAAGGGCACTAATCCCATTCTTAAGGGCTCCACCTTCATGACTTCATTGCCTCCTAAAGGCCCCACCTCCAAATATCATCACTGTCAGGGTTAGGTGTCAATATATGAATTTGAGGGGCACAGCATTCAACCTATGCATGCATGCATGCTAAGTCACTTCAGTCGTGTCTGACTCTGTGCGACCCTATGGACAGCAGCCCACCAGGCTCCTCTGTCCACAGGATTTTCTAGGCAAGAATATTGGAGTGGGTTGCCATTTCTTTCTTCAATTCAACCTATAGCAGTGCACAAAAAAGAGAAAGAAAAGTGAGAAAGATGATGGAAACATAAACCCAGAGCATACGTGTTTGGTGACCACTGCATAAACTGGAGTGACCTCTGGAGGGTTGAGGATCTGGGCACCCATAAGATTGGCTAGAGGCTGTATGTGCTTTCTAGAACCCCAGAGAGGGGCATTATGCCAGGAGAGGCCTCCACTTGCCCACACACATAGATCATTGACTAAGCTCAGTTCTGACTGCCAGTTACAAGCTGCTTGCAGAGTCTCTGACACTGGTTGGCACACACACCATGGATGTAGGTGCCAGGTTAGGGTCCTCCAATGAAATGCCAAATGCCCAGTTCAATTTGAATTTCCAGCAAACAACAATTGTGTTGTTTTTTTTTTATTAAGCATAAGTATATCCTAAATATCTTATGGGATATACTTATACTAAGAAATTATTCATTGTTAACTGGACATTCACATTGAACTGTGTGCTCTTTATTTTTACTCATTAAATCTAGCAACTTGCTGCACTAGGTAGCTGAGGGCCTTTCTGGACCAAGTCAGGGTGCTGGGGATAGGCATCCACCTGGCCAGGCCTCCCCAGATACTCAGATCAGGCGTATCCCTGGTTAGGTAACAGCAGAGCTGCTCTTGAATGACTTCTGAGAGAATGGGCCCCTGAATCCATTCCATCAGTGTGGGGAGGGTCCCCATGCTACCATTTCACTTCTGACATGTGTCAGTGGGGTGAAAATAAACAGTAGCAAATTTAATGTGAAGATTAAGGGTGACAAACTGATGCTAGAATCTAGATGCTTTATGTCAAATGTGTTATTCTTTCTTTCTTTTTTTTGAGGTCACAGATGTCAAAAGTTTAATGCCTGCAGGACTTAACGGAGAGTTCTATTTATGAACTTTTTCTGTTAATTGGGGAAAGACTATCATTATTTTATTTGACATGGAGAACATACATACTCCAGCCTGAGGACTGTCAAGGACCCATCAGGACACTGCTTGTTAATAGATTCACAACCCAGATGGAGACCCTGGAGATGATAGGAGAGGAAGCCAGGAAAGCAAGCCTCAGGCAGAGCTGGACTGGCTCACAAGGGCCAGAAGAGGGGTAACCGGCCTGCAGGCAAGCAGTGCTTTGGGAGAGGGGATGTTCCCTAAGGATGCACAGTATCTGTGGGAGCACACGGCCACCTGGGGGCCATATGTGTGTGGCATTGTTGTTGTTGGGGGGCACTCTGGAGAATGTAGAGCCCAGGCGACTGTCCACCAGAGCCCAAGGCCCTGGGAGGCAGTAGGCAGGGGCAAGTCAGGCAGACCCAGTGATGCTGAAAGCTGAGCTTCTCTGTGTACCAGTGCTGAATTGAATCTTGGAGACAGAGTTTCGGGTGAAGTAGAAAAGAATAGCTTTCTTACTTTGTCAGGCAAAGGGGGCCTCAGCAAGCTAATGCCCTCAAAATCATCTGTCCCAACTTGGGAGACGATAGTGAGAAGTTTCACAGTAATTGTTCAAAGAGGACATGGTCAGCTTGTGGACATTCTTCTGATGGGTTGGTGTGGAGGTGAGTGGGAGTCAGCATCATCAACTTTCTGGTTCCAACTGGTCTGGGATCTACATGTTTGTGGGCAGCTTACCATTGTTAACTGTTGACTTCTCCCACCCGGAGGGTGTTTCAGTATCTGCAAAATAGTTCAAATATATTGTGGTGTATCCACTGATGGGGAAACAGGACCTTGCCCCAAGGCTGCTCTTAACTGTTTCTCGCTGGTCTCACATAGCCTCCCTTCCCTAATTCATAACTGCTTGAAATCTGCCCATTGGAACCCGGGAAGGTCCTGGAGGCTGAATGAAGGCTGCTTCCTATAATCAAAGAAATAATAGGCACAGAAAGACTTAGTGCCCAGGAGCCCCACAGGACTCTGCTTGGCATCATAGGTGGAAGGTGGCATGGGAGCTGGGGGTTGGCAACCTAGAGAGAAGTCGAGGTTTGCTCTTGGCCTGCCACACAGAAGGGACCCTCTTGAGAGTCGGGGGGAGTCTGTCTGAAGGGTTGGAGACTAGAGCTGAGAAGCCCAGGTTTATCATCCTGGCAGAAGGGGACCTCAGAGCCTGTTGGGTGAGTGTGGCCCAAGGGGGAGTGACTGGGGCCTGCCTAGCACATGCTCGGCAGGAGGGGACAGTGAGAATGGTGACAAAGCGACCACAGACAGCAGTCCCCGCATGGCCGGAGTGGATGGGGTGAAAGGAGTCTCACACACTGTCTGATTTAGACCATTAGGACATGGATCAGGGGTTTAGCTCCTGTCTTTACCTGCTGTTGGCCAATCGGCCAGGTGTCTTCCACCATGGCCTGACAGCCGGGTCTGGCCCTAGTTCTGGCACCGTCTCTGTGTTCTTGGGAGAAACCATGTCTCCTCTCAGGAGCTACTGTCACAGCAATACAGGAGACCCCCTTCATGTGCTCTGGGAAGTTACAGCTTCGTGTCAGGTCAGCCAGGCTGGCCCAGTACAGCCATTGGTGTGGACCAAGCATGTGGCTTCCACGCGGGATGGCCAGCCTCGGCACCTGAGCCGGGCACCCATCACCACAGTTGTGCCACCATCCTGCCCCGGTGTTTCATCAAGGGAGTCTGAAAGTGAAAACAACGGGAAGAAAAGTGAAACCTCCCGAAGGGGAGGGCAAGGCAGCAGCAGCCCAAGTAGCACAGGCAAAGGTCACTTTGTGTCCCTCAAAATGAGACCCAGAGAAGCCTTTGTGACTTCCGCATTCCTGTCTTCCGTTGCAGTTCCTGCATGGCCCTGGTTCCTGGCACACACAGCCCAGTAGAGGCTGTCATCATAGCCCTGTCAGCCAGGTGGCTGTTCCACCCAGCCCTGCGCTGACAAAGGGTCATCTCCCCATACGCCGGCCACACACAGAACCGAGCATGTGGTTCTGCATGTGGCTCACATCTGTGCACAGGACCCATCCTCAGGTACCCCGCAGCTCTCCCCAAACACAAGCCTGCACACACCCCTCCCCCAGCTCAGCCCTCACACCCCCTTCCTGGCAGAAGCACACTCACAAGCACAGACACGAAACACTTTAGTCACACAGTCACTTTAGTCACGTCCAGCTGTTTGTAACCCTATGGGCAGTAGCCCACCAAGCTCCTCTGTCCATGGGATTCTCCAGGCAAGAATACTGGAGTGGGTTGCCATGTCCTCCTCCAGGGGATCTTCCCCACCCAGGGACTGAATCTGCGTCTCTTACGGTCTCCTGCATTGGCAGGCGGGTTCTTTACCACTAGTGCCCTCTGGGAAACCCTGCATTCTTGCATATCCAGTCTCCCTAGGTGTGCTCATGCGCAGTACACAGAGAGGCGCCCGGGCCTCCCTGCTGACGGCTATCAAGCCCTTGGGTGGCTATTCCTCTGTGCCCGGGGCAGGGACACCAGCCCCTCCCTCCACTGCCATCTAGGAATGGTCTCTACCACCTTCCTGAGCTCAACCACTGGGCAGGGCCCCATAACTGCATCTGGTTCTGTTTGTACTGACTCAAAGGGCACTCCCTTTGAGACCCCGCCCTTTGAAGGCCAAGCCAACACCTACCAGCTGTTTTCCCCACATATTTCACATGGAGTGCTGGAGGAACTGGCATCCTGGCTACCTGGACTCTGGAACGAATCAATACGGTTCTTCTTATCTTTATGTTAGAGAGGCTATTCCAAGCTGTCAGAAACACAGAAACATAGACACTCAGGTTATTTGGAATGGTGGCTGTTCATTGAAAGGAAGAAAAGAGGGACAGAGATGCATGGGCAGGACTGCAGCAGTGTCCTGCAGTTGAGACTTGAGCTTGGGTTTAACCCTAAGAAGAGTGTCTGCCCACCTGGGTCCCGGGCACGGCACCAGATGCCTAGTGTGCATTATCAAGGGGCACTCACAGCAGCCTTATGGAGGAGTTCCCATCACTGTCCATTCAAAGAGGATGGTGAGGCTGAGATAGTTTGTGGCTTGCCTGAAGTCCTGCAGCTAGTGAGTGCAGGGCTGGGATGCGAGCCCCATTGTTGGGGGCCCATCCATGTACCAAGGAGGCTCCGCATCCTGCCGCTCCCAAAAGCTGGTGTCTGTGGCTCTTGACCTGGTGGATCTGCCTTTCTCTTGAGATGACTTCCCCCCATCTTTGGATGTTTGTCTGTCTGTCTCTGCTTCCTCCTCCATGTGTCCCTATCTAAAACTTCCGAGATGGGACCCTTAGCATCAGTCAGAGTCTAGCCAGTGCGGAACCACTCTGAAAGTAAAACGAGCAAAGTTTCAGCCAGACTGGACCCATGCTCCACTCCCTTCCTTCCGACAGTGAGCAGATGCCTTGGGGTGAGGCGCTCAGCTGTGGTCAGGACAGCTAGTCACTCAGATGCCCTGGGGATGGGGCAAGACACTCTACCAACACTAGGTTGTCCACTGTGGTTTCTAATACTGTTATTGGAAATCTTTTCTGAACATACTTCTCATTTTCCTGACTTGGTGAGATTCATCTAGTGAGTAATTGAATATATACAAAAACTAGTCAGGATTTTATGATTCCTGGGGCATCCTTCTGCATTCCAAGTGCATCAAGCAGCCAATGCAGGAGGGATGAGAGCTGATAGTGGTGACAACCAGGAAACTCCCTAAACATCTTTTTAAACATTCCTGATGAGTTTTTTGCCTTAATGTTAATTTAGAGGCAACAAAGAGGAAATTCCCTGGCAGCAGGTTTAGTGAGCTCAGGCGTCGTCTCTGCAGATGGAGTCAGGGTCCCTGGGAGAGGCAGCTTCCTTCCCCTGGGAACTTTCAGCCTTGGCTGCAGAAGGCCGCCCACACCAAGGGGCCTCTGAGGGCACCTAGGCGTGGAGGGTCCCGGGCCAGCTCCTCAATCATCTGCATTCCCAGGAGCCTCCTCCACTGATAAAGGACAGAGGTGGGGGGTCTCGGGTCACTCAGCCCATAACACCTGCAAGCACAGGCCACCAATCCACCCTCCCTTGGGACTGTCAGGAGCAGCCCATTTCAATTTGATCCTTTGCATAAATACATTAGAGACCGCAGACTTCATGTGTGGTTCAGATCCTGTTAGAAAATATCCGTATTTATAGAGAAGCTTAAAGGAAGGAGCAAAAGTCCCAAATCCTTCACTGAAAATGACTGAGTGGGAGGGAATATTCACACCCAAAGCTACAATCTGGATTCTGGACTCCGCCTGACGTCAAACAGTATTCCCTGTGGATCTGAAACCCCACATGCTAGCAGCTACTTCGGAAGCAGGGCTTTTCCAGGACAGCCATCTCCTTGGGAGCTGTGCCCTGAACTGACCGAGGATGACTGACCTTTAGAGTCTCCTTCAGCCCAGGCGGCAGCTAGGCACGAGGCTGTGGGGCTGGAATTCAGATCTCTCTCCCCACGGGCCTGGGCGCATGGGCGTGGGCGGCTGGGGTAATGTTGGCCTGGCCTCGGGCTCCTGTTTTCCTAAGTCAGGAGCCAAACGAGGAGATGGCCTCAGACCTTGTGCTGCAGGCTGACAGTTACCCGACAACACACCAACAGTCACAGCTTCACCTTGATTTTTTAAAGGAGTGTATGTGGGTAGCCTTGTATGGCAAGAAAAACCTTTATTTTTTCCCCCTTATTCTACAGCAGAAACAGGCAACTTTCTACCAAGGTTTTACAGGATTCCTAGCCCAGCACCTGACTTGGAAACCCTTCCAAGAGGGTCCACCTTCACAAAGTTGATGTGTGGGTCTCAGTCCCCTGACTTTAGCCTGCATTGTTGACAGAAGCACTTTAAAGGAGTGTGTGATCTGAATGGGGACAGAGGTGGGTGATGCTGGGGGAGGCGAGTGGACTCACTGCGTATCATGACTAAATAAGTCCACTGCAGGAGAGTAGGGTCTGGAGATGCGCTACCCCAGTGGAAGTGACCTCAGAGAGGGGTGAGGTCCATCTGAGGACAGGTCCCCAGAGCCCTGCACTCTCATGGGAGGGGTCTGAGAAATCTCTGCCCAGAGGGAATCCCTCCGCACAATCAGTTCTCCCAAACCCGACAGCCCTGCGCCCGAGGCAGGGCCTAGGAGCATGAGAAGGCCGAGTGGGTGGGCACAGGGCCCTGGGCGGTGCCAGTCCTTTCCAGAATGAACAGGCACCTGCTCTCCTTGCACTGCCAAGAGGAGAAAGGGGAGCAGAGGCTGCCCTTCCCCTCCCAGTCCATGTGACCAAGGCCCTTCCAGACGCCTCTCCTCCTGGAACCTCAATGGGGTGTGTTCCTGAGGGTCTTTGCCCAGGGCAGCCCCCATGCCACCAGGACTCCCCTTAAATTACTGAATATTTCACTGAGAGACTCAACTGGGCAACTCCAGGGCCCAGGGAGGCAGCAGGTGAACTCAGGGCCCCAGAGGACTGATGTTGGGGTCATCACCAGTTGTAGGTTTGGGGAGGGGTTCTAAGTTGGAGAGGAAGTGAGTTCCTGGGCTTCCTAACATTCCGTGAATCTCATCCAGACCTTCTCTCTTAGTTTCCTGGGGCTGCTATAACTATAGTTCCACAGGATGGGGTGCTGACACAACAGAACTTTATTGTCTCAAAGCTCTAGAGGCCAGAAATCCAAGGTCAAGGTGACGGCAGGGGTGGTTTCTTCTGAGGCTTCTCTCTGACTTGTAGACAGCTGTCTTCTCCCTGCATCTTCACATGGTCTTCCTTCCATGTATGTCCATGACCAAAATTCTTCCTCTTATAGCACTAGCCATATCGGATTAGAATGGTCCTAAGGAACTCTTTTTAATTTAATTACCTCCTTACAGACCTGGTCAGTAAGCAGACACTCTTTTCATAGCAAACACCCTTTTCCAACAACACAAGAGATGACTCTACACATGGACATCACCTAATGGTCAACACCGAAATTAGACTGGTTACATTCTTTGCAGTTGAAGATGGAGAAGCTCTATACAGTCAGCAAAAACAAGATCTGGAGCTGACTGTGGCTCAGATCATCAGCACCTTATTGCAAAATTCAGGCTTAAACTGAAGAAAGTGAGGAAAACCACTAGGCCATTCAGCAATGACTTAAATCAAATCCCTTATGATTATATAGTGGAGGTGATGAATAGATTAAAAGGATTAGACCTGGTAGACAGAGTGCCTGAAGAACTATGGACAGAGGTTCATAACATTTTACAGGAAGCAGTGACCAAAACCATCCCAAAGAAAAAGAAATGCAATAAGGCAAAACGGTTGTCTGAGCAGGCCTTACAAATAGCTGAGGAAAGAAGAGAAGTGAAAAGCAAGGGAGAAAGGGAAAGATGTACCCAACTGAATGCAGAGTTTCAAAGAATAGCAAGGAGAGAGAAGGCCTTCTTTAAAGAACAATGCAAAGAAATACAGGAAAACAATAGAATGGGAAAGACTAGAGATCTTTTCAAGAAAATTAGAGCTATCAAACGAACATTTCATGCAATGATGCGCATGATAAAGGACAAATATAGTAAGGACCTAACAGAGGCATTAGAGATTAAGAAGAGGTGGCAAGAATACACAGAAGAACTATACAAAAAAGGTCTTAATAACCCAGATAACCATGATGGTGTGGTCACTCACCTATAGCCAAACATTCTGAAATGTGAAGTCACATGGGCCTCAGGAAGCATTACTATGAACAAAGCTAGGGGAAGTGATGGAATTCCAGCTGAGCTATTTCAGATCCTAAAAGATGATGCTGTGAAACTGTTTCACTCAATATGTCAGCAAATTTGGAAAACCCAGCAGTGGCCACAGGAGTAGAAAAGGTTAATGTTTATCCCAATCCCAAAGAAGGGCAGTGCTAAAGAATGTTCAAACTACCGGACAATTGCGCTCATTTCCCATGCTAGTAAGGTTATGCTCAAAATCCTTTAAGTGAGGCTTCAGCAATACTTGAATTGAGAACTTCTGGATGTACAAGCTAGATTTAGAAAAGTCACAGGAACCAGAGATCAAATTGCCAACATTTGTTGGATCATAAAGAAAGCAATGGAATTCCAGTAAAATATCTACTTACACTTCATTGACTATGCTAAAGCCTTTCACTATGTGGATCACAACAAACTGTGAAAAATTCTTAAAGAGATGGGAATACCAGACTATCTTATCTGTCTTCTGAGAAACCTATACATGGGTCAAGAAGCAACAGTTAGAAGCTTACATGGACTGGTTCAAAATTGGGAAAGGAGTACAACAAGGCTGTATATTGTCACCCTGATTATTTAACTTATATGCAGAGGACATCATGCCAAATGCCAGACTGGATGAATTACAAGCTGGAATCAAGATTGCCAGAAGAAATATCAACAACCTCTGATATGCGGATGACACCACCCTAATGGCAGGAAGTGAAGAGGAACTAAAGAGCCTCTTGATGAGGGTGAAAGAAGAGAGTGAAAAAGTTGGCTTAAACTCAACATTCAAAAAACTAAGATCAGGGCCCAGTACCATCACTTCATGGCAAATGGATGGGGAAAAAGTGGAAGCAATGACAGATTTTCTCTTCTTGGTCTCCAAAATCACTGCAGATGGTGACTGCAGCCATGAAATTAGAAGATGCTTGCTTCTTGGAAGGAGAGCAATGACAAACCTAGACAGCATATTAAAAAGCAAAGACATCGCTTGCTGACAAAGGTCCATATAGTCAAAGCTATGGCCTTTCCAGTTGTCATGTACAGATGTGAGTGTTGGACCATAAAGAAGACAAGAGCACCAAAGAATTGATACTTTCAAATTGTGTTACTGAAGAAGACTCTTGAGAGTCCCTTGGACTGCAAGGAGATCCAGTCAGTCAATCCTAAAGGAAATCAACCCTGAATACTCACTGGAAGGATTGATGCTGAAGCTGAAGCTCTTTGGCCACCTGATGTGAAGAGCCAACTCATTGGAAAAGATCCTGATGCTGGGAAAGACTGAGGGCAAGAGGAGAGGAGGTGACAGAGGATGAGATGGTTGGATGACATCACTGACTCAACAGACATGAATTTGAGCAAACTCTAGGAGATAGTGAGGGACAGGGAGGTCTGGCGTGCCGCAGTCCATGGGCTCACAAAGAGTCAGACACGACTTTGTGACTGAACACTATTACAGATCTTACTTCCAAGTATGGTCACATTCTGTGGGCAGTGCTTCAACATGTGAATCTGAGATGGCATAGCCCAGCCTGTAACACCTGCCCAAGCAGCAAGCATCTACTTCGATGGCATCTGGGTGCTCCTTCTGTAAAGGCAATCCATGTTACCCACCAGGTATTTCACAAGTGCTTTCTGCTTCAATCCCTTTAACCTCCCCTGGAGTCAGCAGAGAAGGCATCCTCGTCTCATTTCATAGATGAGAAAACAGGTCCTGAGAGCTGAAGTTAGTGTCCCCAAGCCCCCTGCCAGGAAGTGAATGTTCTGGCTGAGACTGGGCTCCTCACTCCTTGGCACTGTTCCTTCAAACTCCCTGCTTCAGGGACTACAACATTTCCCTTCAAGGAAGGGAGAAAATACTTCCTCTGATAAGAGCTTAACACCCAAGTCAAGTTTGCAGGCTTTCAGGCTCCTCATCCTATTTAATGTGCCAGAGCTTCTTCTAGTTAACATTTATTTGCTAAATAAGTCACTTCTCCCCACATTTGGCTCTCACACAGCTGCTGAGAGCCAGGTGCTCTGTGAGGCCCCTCATATGTATTATATCAAAAATTAATCGTATTTCATAGATGAGAAATGGCGACTTAAGGAGGTAAAACTGAGCAGCTGGTCAGCGCTGGAAGGGTGCAGTGAAACCCAGGAAAGGGTGATTCACAAGCCCTTGTCTTTCCAGGGTAGCAGCCCTCAACAAATTCAGTTACTCAGCAAGTGTTTATTAGAGGTCTGCTCCATGCCAGGCACTGTTCAAGGTGCCACTCAAGT